TAACGGCACCGGGCAGTGGGCCCGGGTAGCGTGGTAGAGCTGGAACGGGGAGGACGCCGGTACGCGCGAGCGGTTCGACGCCTCGACGCCACGGCGCGGTACTGGGTAACGATCCAGTACCGACGGGCGGAGGCGGAGCCGGCTCGTGGGCGTACCGCGCGCGTCCTCAACCCCGTTCGGTGCCGCTCTAAGGTAGTTAGCGAGCGCTACCCTAGAATAAGCGGGAAGTCGGACTTTGACGGTCGGTGGGTGACAAGTCCGTGCTTGTCCTCTTCCACCGCCGCCGGTCCGCTCCATATTTAATATACAAAACAATCTACAACTCTACAGTACCGAAGTACTGTAGTGGACTACTGTAGTACAGTTCGGACCGTACTGTAATATTGTCAGCCATCGGGGCTGACAGTACACGTGTGTGCGCGCGCTTCCGTCCCGCGCGATACACATGTACACGTGTGCACGCGTGTGCCCTGTACCCGAGGGGTACACACGTGGCCACGTGCAGTGGTACTGTACAGCATCGGGCTCTGCAGCACTAGATCCGTTGTTGATCTAATCTAAGTAAAAAGCCCCAGCGGGGGGTTACACTACATGGTGGACAAGGACACTAATTTCATTGCAGCTGCTTTCCTCCCGAAACAGATTGTCGATGAGTTGTGGAGCACATACTTGTCGCACTGGGTCGTTCCCTACATCGGTCACGCGCTTGAGATAAACGCAGATCAAGGCCCCCAGTTCCGCTCTCGCAGATTCTCGTCCTACACGAGCATGGAGGGAGTTCAGCTTCGCTTTCGGGTGTCGAAAGCCACAACAGCCTGGGCGTCGGAGAGAGGTATCACCACTACCTGCGTCGTATTTTTCAAGATACGCGATGAGTTTCCTGATATACCAATGAAAGACGCAATAAGACTAGCTACAAAAGCCATGAATTATACCGCAGGACCAAAGGGTTTGGTACCAAAGGGTTTGGTACCAAACCTTCTGGTGTTTGGAGTTGTGCCAAGAATCCTTCTTCCAGGATCTGTCCAGCTACCTGGCCAAGTCCAGCGCATGAATGCCATGCAGACAGCACGAAAGGATATGTCTAAAGAGGTTGCCCGTAGCCGGCTTAGCACAGCGTTGAGATCAAATGTTCCGGCTGCCACCAACCGCGATATCAGCATAGGCTCTGAAGTGCTTGTCTTCAAAGAATCTCCCGTGAACAAATGGATTGGACCATTTCATGTGCTCGACGTGAGAGACAAGTCAGTGTTCATCAATTCCCAAGGACGTACAACGCAAATGTCTATCGACAAATTGAGGCCGTACTTGCGTCCAATGCATAACGAAACGCCAAGCACTACCGAACGCAGTGTGTACAAACCGAGCAATAATACCATAAGAAAGGGTCTGTCGCCAGCAGAGGCATCAAATGCATGGATAGAGTCCCTTCGCGATCCGTTAAAGGATCTATTCTCATAACCGTCTGAGGACAACGCAATATCTCCTGACGAATTTTATATGGAGTTCGCCACATTCCTAACGGAGGTTATTGAATCATCCGATCCTCGATCTAAGAACGCTGCCTTCTTATCAGCCATGAAGAAAAAAGTGAGAGGCTTGGAAGATCGCGGTGTTTGGGTTAGGATGCCAAAGAAGGACCTTCCGGAGAATGCAAATGTGCTAGGCGGTCGCTTCGTCCTCACATTGAAGAACGCTGGCTCTGAACGTGAGACCCTGAAAGCGAGCTTCGTTGCTCAAGGTTTCTCAGATAGAAAAAAGGACTACATAATCCACAATGTTACCTCACTAAGACAAAGCTCGGTTCGAATGATTGCATCCTTTGCTGCGTCGAAAAGGTTTCGAATCTTCAGTCACGACGTCACCCAAGCATATACACAAAATGATGAATATCTTTCGCGTGAGCTCTACCTTCAACCGAAACCAGCAGATGCCCCCTTACTCTCTCTCAATGCGCGCCAAGTGTTGAAGCTGATCAAGCCGATATACGGGACCACTGATGCGGGTGATTACTGGAATGTGACGGTGGACAAGCATGCCGAGAGCGATCTAGGCATGTAACTGCTCACAGGTGACTCCTCTCTGTATCTTAAGACTGAAGCAGATGAAGAAGATGCTTCTGGACTAATAGAAATGCTAGTAGACGATGGACTACTTTGTGGTAACGACGCTTTCCAACGCCTCACCGAAGCTACACTGCAGAAATTCGACCTGAGGCCAAGAAAGTGGCATAAGGCCACATTTTATGGCGTGCAAATCGAATCTACGCCTGGTGGTAGTGTTCGAATCCATCAACCCGACCACATCCAGAGGATTGAGATGTTACCTGAAGATGCAACGTTCGAGCACTTTTGTAGCGCTCGTGCGGCACTAGCCTGGATCACCCACACGAGGCCAGACATCGCTTGCTACGTAAATAAAGCAGCACAAGTCACAGAGAAAGCATTCAAAAGGGGGCATATCAAGGCATTCAATGTATGCATCAAGTACCTAAAAAGAGAGCCTTTACATTTGAGTTTCGATCCGCTAAATATCGAGACATTGCAGATTCGTGTCTATGCGGACGCCGCCTTTGGTACCAATTTGGATTGCAGCTCACAACTTGGGTTCGTAATTATGCTACGCGAAGCGAACACCTGCGCTCATATTATCGACTTCTCAAGCAAAACGTCAAGAAGAGTTGTCAGATCGATAATGGGAGGAGAGATATTTGTCTTGGCAGATGGTTTCGATCGTTCGTTTATGGTAAGGCATGATCTGGAGCGTATGTATGCCAGAAAGATCCCGCTGTACGTTTTAACCGACTGTAAACAAGTTTTCGACACTATTACAAAGGAATCTAAAACAACCGAACGAAGACTCCTCATCGATATTGCTGCTGCTCGTCAAGCCTACAATCGCCAGGAAATATCAAACATTAGTCTAGTTGCATCGGAAGACATGGTTGCAGATGGACTTACGAAGACGAAGGCTGGGACATCACTGATTAAGGTTTTAAGATCCGGCCACAATGCACTCAAGGTGAAACAGGGGATTATTCGGAATTAAGCTATCACCATGCCTGTTCTATCGAGTCTGTTTCAGAAACTATCGAACGTCAAAACGTGACGTCAAAATGGAGTATCTTGTTCCACTTTTTAAGAAAGTGCCAGTGTGAAAACAGCAGAAGTTGATTGGCGCGTGGTTTTCTCCACGCGCTGTAAGGACAAGATACTCTAGTAATTTCCCTCTCTGTAGTGAGTATATAAGTGCCCCCGATGATTCCGAGTAACGGACGTTGGGGGAGGTCACAGGGAAAACACATACCGTACGCATAGAGTCGTTCACCGACTCTCGTACAGTAAAGGAACTGCCGGTCGTCGGCAGTTTTCCCTCGAATATCTCATTTTAGTGGCAAATTCCACAGTGCTCGTCGATTTTGAGGTCATATTTCCGTGGAGTTGGCTTCAAGTCCTGCGTCTCAAAATAAGATGCATGCGCTCTCGTAAGAAGCATTGCTGTACAAGCTTTCTGGTAGAAGCTTTCTGAACCGCGGACTGTCGTCTTTCTCACGTAAAGCTCGAAAGTGCAGCCGGAAGGCCACAAAGATGGGCATGGTACGAGGTCAGTGAAGCGCAGGCCATCAAAAGTGCGTTCCCGGCTCAATGCACAATACTCGCAGGTCATAGATTTATGCACAGTTCTCTCTCGGAGCCATTCTCGCCAGCAGTGCAAGACAGTTGCAATACCGAAGGCAGTGTGTCTTTGTCTTTTCGCAGCAGTAGAAGTAACCCCGACAGGGATTCATCACATCCCAGCCTCTGAGTTTGGTATAGATGTCAGCCATGGCCTTCAATATTTTTTTGCGTTGCTGCAAATTTGCTTCTGCTCTGCTTTCTCTGCTGGGATGCACGAACGTATCCTTCTCAGAACAGTAAAAAAAAATGGGGCATGGTGTGGCACGGGGAACAAGAGTTTGCGGTTTTGCATTCTTGAACGTGAAAGAGTTTGGTTCTGAATCAGACAAGAGCTTGTGTCTACGTCTTCCCCATGCCCTACCAAACTCAGCACTGCACCATCTCCTCCTACGATTTTGTCTCCGTCCTTTCCCGAGCTTCAGTCCCCAGAGCGCAGAGCTGTGGCGGAACTCCTTCCAGCTCTCTTTGGCATCTACTCTTTCGTAGATCTCAATCAATCTGCGACCCCAGTATTACGACGTTGCACCCCGTCATCGTCTCCTCGTCCTTTTTACAAACTGCTTCACATGCACCGCGGAACCGCCCGCACCCGTCCCGAGACGCGGTCGAGGACTGACGACGCGATACGGAGAGTCTTTTGGCGTGTCCCACCTGCCTGGATAGCGTCTACTGGTGAACCGCACTGCGCCAGATCGGACCCTGGTCCATTCGTCCTTGTAAAACCGCCAAGAACGCATGGATATGATGTTCAAAAAAATGTTTTGAAGTTAGATGCAGTATCGATGTTGCTGCCAACCGCATTTGAGATGTAACTACTTTACAGTCTGGTGACTCTGGTTTTCGAGACTCGGCTGCTGTTTGTCTTCAGCTCTGCCTGCCGTGATAACACAGGCTCTGAGATGCAGCCGACCTAGCTCTGCTGAATCTTCCGACGAAAATGGGGAAGGATTCATGTTGGGAAGCCCGAGCCTGGGGGAATCTGTATCGACATGCATCGATTACATATCTTTATCCTTTGTCAATGGCACTGTACAGCAGTAGTACTGGTTTCCAGGAGAATATCGGCACAGGCAAGTAATGAGTGTTGTGTGATCAACGCCGCTGCCACCCACCAAACGGAGACTGGCGACCCACATCCATACATCAGGTGCGATGGTGGCCTTTCAGCTAGCGACATTTCGCGAGGTATAGTATAGTAAAGCATAGAGACTGGAACGAAACGCTTCTAGCAAAACCGTGGACTTCGCTCAGGTCTCGGGACTTCGCTCAGGTCTCGCTAAGTGCTAGTTTTTATTGAGCGCCCTACAAAGCGAGCAAAGACTGATGGCCACGTGGTCCGAAACAACACCACATCTGGCATATTTTCACGATGTCCACTTTTCCAAATTTCGTATTACGCAACTCTACACACCACTCGCAACTTCCGTTCTCTGATTTGAATCAGGGTACTTAAGTCATCTTCTGTCCAATTGGAACCGCTTCTACTGAGCTGCAGCAACTAGGGCACTTGGTGCCAATGGCAGGCATGTCCTGGAAGCAATACGGGCACTTGCGCATGATCCATGCAGGCACGCAGCGACCACCATACCTTTGCGTCGGTAGGATGAGGCAGAAGAACAGGACTAGTGCTATGATGATGAACGATATTAATGCGTCCAAAAACAGGCCGTAGACGAAATTAGACTGCCGGATTGTGAACTTTAAGTCCTCGAAGTTAGTATCCCCGATGACTCCAAGGATCGGTGTCACGAAAGAAGAGACGAAGCTCGTGACCAACCTCTCGATGGAGAGAGCAAGGACGAAGGCTACTGCGATGCGGATCAGGTTGCCGCCGAAGATAAAGTCGCGAAATTCAACAATGATTGACTTGCCGGTTCCGTACTGAACCTTATCCTTCTTAGAGCCGAAGCAGCTGGTTTCCTGCTGTTGTTCCACATCGTTTTCTTGGGTCGGTGTAGTCATTTTGGTGGTGTCTTTCTGAGGGCGGGGGAGCAAAAGTAGTAGGGTGCAAGGGGCGAGGTTGGTGAAGGCGGTAGAGAAAGATGACTGCGAGATGCGGGAGTTGTGTATCGGGCGGGCAACTATGAGCCTCGTTGCAGACTCCTTCCTTTTTATACTCTTGGTAAGGAAAACCTAAATGACGACGGGGAGGTGCATATCTTAGAAGACGGTGGGGGCTCGTGTGGTATGAGATCAAGAAAGAGTCACTTGGCTAAGTATGACTTACGAAAGGCTTGTAGATGCATCAAAAATGTTCATGTCAGAAACCGTAGTTAGTGTGCAGTGCAGTTCTGTAGGATAAAACGCGGCGTCAGCACAGTGGAACGTTCACGCAGTAGAAGGAAGAGGGCGACCCGAGAGGATGACCGTGAAGTTGCGACTGAGATATTAATGTTGGGGGCGTTTGGCCCGTACAAATGTGTAAGACATGGTTACAAAAACCCCCGCACCGGTGTACAGTATGAGTTGCGGGGCTTGGAAAGCGTGCGTGAGGGCGATCCCCCAATCAAGATTTGTACTTTCATTCGCCTTTAAAGGAGTAAGTCATGTACAGTTGTGTATCTTTAGTGGAGGGAATACTACGCAGTTCTGTACGGTACAATGGTGTGACGCCACGGGGGTGGTGAACGGAACTACATGCCTTGGTACAGCGGGGCAAAACGCAAATTTACCAAAGAAAAAGACGACGCTGAAGGGACTTCGAAGTTGCTTCAACAAAAGTATTCGACGGCGCGTGAGGGAAAGAGGGAAGAGAGTTTTAAACGTTATTGAATGCCTGCTTTGAAGCAGAGGAGCGAGGGGGCAGGCGAGGTCAAGCTGTATGGAGGTGTTGGTTCCATGTTCGTAAGACAGCTGGGAAGGGGCAGGGAGTGGTCCTGTAAGGATAATCGATAGTGGAATGGCGGGGCATTGAAGGGAGTTGATGACCTCCTATGAGTGCCGGGGCGCCTTGGACGAATACCTAACTTACGCGTTCTGGATATGAAAAGAGGGTATCTTGTCAGTGTCAGCAAGTAAAGAAGTAAGTATGGAGTACCGCAATGTGACGGGGGGAAAGCAGGAAATGAACGATTATTGTATATTGATTCAGTATCACACTGCGCCTGCGCGTTGTGGGAATGACGGGTTCCAATCACTTTCATGGAAATGGTTGAGTGCTCGCAACGTTCTCAAATCTCCCCTGCCCGTGATCTGATTGGGCAAACCTGACTCTCGTTTTGGATCTTTACGCAAGTATTTCTTGAAGCACAGTATGAGCACATATCAAGACTCAAATCCTTGGGAGGTGCCGTATCTAATCTAGATTTCGTCTTACGGTACTTACTCTCACCCATACTGTATTCACCTTCGTGCCGCCAGGCAGCGGAAAGTCTAGTGCAACATTTTCTGTGTTATCATGCTGCCACGTCCAAGGGCAACAACTTACACGACCGCGAAGACTTTACCAATGCCACAGCGATCGCGCATCACTTGTAAAGTTTATCAAGGACCACCTTCCCCTGCGAAGAGGGCTTTGCTGTGTAATTTACAAACAGTAGAGCCGACCACGATGCAGGGTCGATTGAAGCACCTCCATTGCTCTCTTGTAAGGGGTGAGCGTTCTGTACAATGCTGCACTGTAACCGAAACTGTTGAAAAAGACAACCTTCCTCAATAGCAAGGAAAAGCTGCAGCCTCACTGCGCTCTCAGCTCAAAACTTTGCAGCAGGTCTGGCTAGATACTGTATCAGCTCATGGCGTGCTCCCCATAAAGCTTTGGGTCTTGTCTTGATCTTGAGATTTAAGACGTTGAGAAAATATCTTCGAGGGTAATCATGAATCCCGAGTTTCATGAGGGAGCGTTTGCACAATACTATTGTGCAAACGCTCCCTCATGAACTGTGACAATACCGTAGTGTCGACATCCACTTGTCGTACTGTACCGCATCCCCTGGCCTATTGTAAGGCATTGTTGATCTTCTCAAACTGTGCACCCCATCGGAACAGCTAGTCATGTTCCATAAAACCAGAACGGTGAAACTTGAGACAAGCCCGTTCGGCTGCCGTTTCACCGCCACCGCCTTGTCAAAGGCTTACAGAAAATAAGCGGAAAGCTGACAAATTTTCTGACAAGAATTCACAGTCGTCACATCAGACGGACGTACAGTAATAGCACGGAGCAAAACGACGACGCTCGCGATGCAAAGCGCGGATGGATAACCCTGAGGCTTGCTGATGCGTACGCTATGAGACTGATACGTACGCTCGATGCCAAGTGAGAACGCCCGTGCCCAACCTGGAACGGCAACATACGCGAAGCATTGTTAAACGGCACGAGCGTTTTAGATCGACAAATGACCATCTCTTCGTGTTTCTGCCCGGCTTCTGCGAATTGCAATCACCCCGTGATGAGTACGTGTCCAGTACGTACGCTGTACCGCAAAAAAAAATGTCCAGTGCCGTTTGTGTCAACAGTCGTAGGGCGCTCCACGGCGCGGTGTCAGGAAAACGTCCTTTGCACTGGCGCTGTGCCGGATCGCTTTTTTCGGCGAGGAGGGGATGAGGTTTTCCATTCCGTCCGAGCGCAGGCCACCGACGTTCGTATCTTGTAGACATTCTCTGAGGGCCGGTTCTAACTCGAGAGAAATCTTGATAAGTTAATCGGCTATGCAGCACAACGCAGTATTGGTCTTCAAGCCAAATCCACACCGTTGGCAGGCTGGTCAGCGCTTCAAGCAGTTTTCACAAGTGTCCCATACGAAGCAATCGCTGTCTTGGAATGAACCAAACAAGAAGAGGCCAGCCTCCCCAATTTCGCTTGTGATAATGCTTTACATTAACCCACCGGACGTGTTGTTTGCCGTCGTCCCATGTCTTCAGAAATTTCCTAGCACAGTAATACTGTTGGGCGCAGTACCCAAGGGTACAGCATCTAAAATAGTCGCGTCCTCTCTTCCCTCTCGTGTAAACGACTCGTTGAAAACTTCGAGGTGCTAGGAAGAAATACGTTGCAGCACGACAGTTCTTCCCGCCAGCCTGCAAAGTTTAAATTTATACAGTAAACCCAAATTGCGGTCATATGAGGGCGGTAGGTGTACGTTAAAGCAGTTCTATTATTACAGATTCAGACTGCATTGAACAGTTCGGTAAAAGCATGTGCGCTCGTTAGACGTTCTAAGTTGAGGACTTGCTGACACATCATCAATTGCAAATCCAGCTTCTGTGCAATGCGTTGAAACATGTTACAGTACCATCATCAATTCCGTCCTTCTTTCACTCTAATCTCCCCTTGTGTCAGACCCAAACTGCCAAGAGACTGCAGAGCGGCCGGGAGTCTGTCCTGGCACGACGAGACGTGGGAGTTGTTTAGACTTGCCGGGTGACTCAACAAACGGCCTCTTGTGACGCCGGCATCGTGTCGTGTTACGTGTATTCGCTGCCCACACGTATCATACGTACTGCACTGTACTTTTTCGAGAATGCTCGGGCGGGCGTTCGACTTTGGGAGCAGAGCACCGCACTACCGCCTCACGGCTCTTAGCATTGGGAGTGATGGCTTGGCTGGTACAGCGATATGCTGTGTTGGGACGGGCTCTGTCAGCATCAAACCAGAAATACCCACCGACGCATACACATGGCGCTGTATCGCACCAAACAGTTGAATTCGATGGCGAAAAAGAAACAAACATCACGTGCTCCCGGTCAATCGAGCGCATCTACGCACTCGCCTGCGGACAAATTGTTCTAATTCAGCTTCTGCAGTTGCAAGAGCGCGCGGTCTCTTTCTGAGGCGAGCAGAATGCCACTTCAAAAACTATTTTGAAAAATATCAACATGCTGCTAGTTGAGCATGGACTTCGTCGAGCGATGTGGTTCTGCACGTGGGACGGGCAGGGACACGCTCCCTCTGTAGCCGCAGTGAATATGAGGGTGCTTCTGCACCTGGCCTTTTTCGAGTCTCAAGCTGGAACCTTTTCTCCGCGCGTTCCGAACCAAAAAAGCGATTCGTCCTTTCTAACTACTCCTGCCAGCTGTTGAGGCTCGTATTGTTAAAGACCGCAACCTACAGAGCTGATCGTATAGCAGGCCCATTCTGCTATTACTCTCGGTTCAATCCTCCGAGTTTCTGCAATAAATGCATCTGACTGCATTGCAAGCACAGTTTCCAATCACCCCCACCGTAACTTATTATAAACTCAGGATACATACTGTACATGACCCGACGTCATCGATGGAACCGAGGTGGGGCTTCGCATGCTGAGCACATGTCCGCCCCCCTTGATGCTGCTTTCGTAAGAAGTTTAACTGCAACGATGAATTCCAATTCACGCGTCACAGAAACGGAGAGTGCATGGCGGATGTTTTCCAGAAACCGTTTCGGTTTCGAGGGGAGAGTGAATCTCCACCGTGCGTTTTGAAAGGACGTTGGTGGTGTCCAAGATCAAAATCTGAGCACACACACCAGTGCCGTTTACACGTCAACATAGGTGTCCACGTGTATATGGAGCAATCTGAGAGGGATCGGTGATTCTGTGCTGCGCTGTACTTTATGTACCCTTGAAAGGGTACTGGGCACGTACCAAGGGTACCCTTGGTACTGTGCGTTGGCACGCGTTGGCAAGTCTGTGTACAGGATACAGCCATCCGAAGATCTACGGTACGAGGCTGCGTTTCCATCCTGATGGTCAGCTGAAAGTCTAATCAAGCCTCGTGGGGAGGCCCTGTTTCGTAGACCGAAGCAGAAGATCTTGTCGGCTTAGGCGGAAATTGTGTTGCGTGGAGCTTCTCAAACCGGGGCAGTATTTCAATGAGACGAATTATTCATGAGCCTTCACAACGGTAGCTGCAAGACTCGTTGACCATGCCCCAGTGGCCTGGTCTGTCAATCGAGCTGTAGCTAAGCATCACCGCGGATACATGACAGGTGTGGTGGCTACAAAGAATGAGGCCTGGCCGTGGGTTTCCTGGGGTAAAGTCGGTACTGTATCCTTACCAGCCCGGTACCTCACAACGTACTTGTGTGCAAAAGGTTAAAAACACGGCAAGCACCTCGTAGACTGAAAGACGATACAGAGCTCTGAACGAGACGTTGCCCTCGTCCTTGCGCGAAAGGACCAACCGATGTTTCGATGCGCCCATCCCACCACGACAGCACACCGAAAACATGATGGCCCGCAATTCTGCACATTAGTCAACAATTTATTCACAAAGGCATTGTACAAGGCGAGGTGATGGCCTACGCGGCCTGTCTATTCTGCAGGCCGGGCATGATGGAAGGATTTTGGGGCGCGTTCGGCGGGGCGTTAAACTCAACGACGAACGGGTTATCCCTGGCGTAGGTCATCCAGTCCTCGAGGCCTGCGACGTGGGGGTCGGGATTGGGCGCGGCGAGCGGGGGTGCGCGCTGCACGGGGGAGCGCTGCACGGGGGAGCGCTGCACGGGGGAACGCTTGACGGGGGGGGCGGTGGGCGTCGGGCCGCACTTGCGACCGAGGTGGCGGCGCGGCATGGTGAAAGTTGGCCAGTTTTCGAAGAAGAGCGGGGCGGGTGGGTGCGGGGTGGGTGCGGGGTGGGTGCGGGGTGGGTGCGAGGTGGGTGCGGGGTGGGGGCAGAGGAGGGTAAGTGAAAACGAATAGGTTTGCATGTTTTAATCCGCTGAGGAGGGGAGTAAAATACTTGTATGCAAATGATGAAGTCGGTCGTGAGTCGTGGGGTGGCGGATGAGGTGGCTGGCGGAGGTGGAGGGAGATTGTGCTAAACTAACTCGCGGCGGATTTTTGGAAGAATTCCGGGTCACTTGCGAATCTCTGGCGGACAAGTGTGCGCGCGGCGCGTGGTGAGTGGTCGG